ATGTAAATATGTGAACCAATTAACTTTATTTTTTAAAATAGTCATGTGAACAAAAATAATTTTTATTTAGGTTATATTTTACATACTTAAAATAAATATATTTAGTAATATTTACTTAATAATAAAGCGAAACTATATAAATAATATTTATGAATAAGTTTAATCATAAATAATTTTAAAAAATGATAACTGAATTCAAAAAATATGTAATAGAAATATTATTTTTATTATTAATAATAATATATAAATGCAATCTACAAAAATATATCATTTTCAACAAGCAATGACATAGTATCAACTTTTGCTTCTAAAAAGAAAATTTAAAATCCTAAAAATAATAAAATGAAAGCAATATTATTCAAATATTATTTTCTAGTTTTATTACACATCTAGATTATTAATAAAAATAGTATTTCAATAGCATATTTTTAAAATTATCAATTTTAAAAATAATTAATATTAAAATTTTGCATCATTGTAATTTATGTAGTTTCATTTATTATGAATATAATTTTACTAAAGATATTTATTATTTTTTATTACATGTGTGTAAAATATAAATTACAAAATAATAATAATAAAAATAATAATATTTTTATTCACATAATAGTTGTTTTACATATTTATATGAATAAGTAAAGTTAGTTGGCCTTATAACGGAAAGTTAACTAAAAAATAAGCCTTAAAGTGAGAATAATCTAAAATGTAAGTCTTCTGTTGAAAAAGTATAAAATTCAGGCCTTAAATTAATATAAGTGTTAATTGTATAAGAAATCCCAACCTTTTGCTTAGTTGCAAATAAAACTCAAATTTTTCAACTTTGCAAAAAAAAATATCAAACCTTTATTAAGTGTTACAATTTTGTCTCGAAAGCAGATTCCGGCCAATGCACGCTGACATTGTCGATCGAAAAACTGACGTGGCAATCAATATTTTATAATCGATGATAAAATAATGGTAACATTGACGTGGCATTCCTACGTGTAATCAATATTTTACACTCGATGATATAATAATGGTAACATTGATGTGGCATTTTTACTTGTAAGGGACGTGACATGGAGTCTTACATGTAAAGTGATGTGTCATTGAGTATAAAATATTGATTGTCACGTCGAAATTTTGGTGTCACGTCAGTTTTTTGATCGGCCATGTTAGTGTGCATTGGTCGGAATCTGCTTTCGAGACAAAATTGCAACACTTAATAAAGGTTTGGTATTTTTTTGCAAAATTAAAAAAGTTTAGTTTTATTTGCAATTAAACAAAAGGTTGGGGTTTTTTTTTTTATGCAATTAACCCTTAATATAATTACTAAAAGTTAGGTCTTCCATTAGAATTTCCCATTATTATTAATAAGATAGTTGCTAATGTTTACTTTTGGTGTTTACTCTATTAAAATTTTTAATTGTTACTCTTATAGTTTTTTTTTTTTTTTTTT